TTCCAGGAGAGAGATGTTTATGACACAAATAAGCATAACAGCCCCTAGGGAGGACAATTGAATGCAGGAGTTGTCCCAAGTAGGCGAGGCGGTTATGAAACCCTCAGAAACTCTTTGAACTAGTTTTGCTTTTTCTCCACCCGGATATCCTACATTATTCTCTGGGGTTTCAGCAGTGATAATGCAGGCACCAAGTTATTGGCTCACTGTATGATCCCCTGGCCTTCAAGTAGCCAAGATGAGAAAAGAACAGGCAGGAGCCAGGTGAGCCCCTCGAGGTGGGCTCTGGGACCAGTTTGTGCACCTTGCGCTGAAAAAGCTGCCTCTCGGGGCTCAGGGTTTCTCTTCAGGGTCTGTTCATATTTAGGCTAACTCGTCGCCGAACAGTAGTGGGGACCAACGTCTTTTCTGTAAAATAGATACAAACAAGGAAAATCTTTTCTAAAGAACTTTATATGAACAAGTTTCAAGTTTTCTGCAGTCGAGTTTTTAGAACTGCCAAGCAACTTGGAGGAATAGCAAGACTGGGGGCCCTTGGCGCACCGCCAGGAATACGCCAGCTCGCGCTAGTCCCCCAGAGTCGGCACCCTAGCCGCCCTCCTCAAATGACCTCATCAAAGATGTCTGAGAAGATATGAGTCCCCACAAGTAGACCCAGTCTCTCTGCAGTGAGCTTTGTAGGACTTGGAGAAGAGGATGAAGAAATACAGAAGACAAAACGACTCCGAAAGTCTTGACCTCCGGGGCTCGATGAGCTGGAATCTCTCTGCCTCCTAATAGATCCGGTGCTCCAAATCCTGCGGGGGCGCAGGATGGTGAACCCCACACCCAGGCCCCTCAGCTGCGCGGGTTTCAAGCTGACCCAGGCGCCACCAGGCAGCTCCGGGTGAGCGAAGCAAGTGCAACTTCAAGGTCAATGCACTCCGAGTGGGGCCTGGAGAGCTGCCAAGAATGCTAGGCTTGGAGCGCTGGGGTCGCGCCCCGGGACTGCGCCTTGAATCCTGCAGTGGAGGGCGCTAAGACCTCACCCCCTGGGCAGTTTTCGGGGGGGAGGGTCCAACTGGAGTGTCCGCGTTGGGGACCAGAAGCGATCTTCCAGGTCGGATTCCTCCTCTGCTGGGGAAGCGAAGCGGGCGGAGAATTCCCACAGCTCTCAGTGGATTCGCTTTTCCAGAGCTGTTCTCAAGCAAAAGTTATCATTTTTGCCAAACTTTGTTGTTACTTTTTAGAATGTTCTGAAAGAGATAATTGAAACACACAGAGAGACAATTTTCCTTCTCAGAAAACACACATAGCTACCCAAATCCGGACTTCTGGCTTTGCAATCTAGTGAAGTAATAAACTATTTATCAGGACTATAAAAATAACAAAGAGGAACTTCTGGCTTTGCTCTTTAGACTGTGTTCCGTTCTGATTTTATTTGAGTTCCTATCTCAAATTTCAAGCAAATATTAAGATAATCATAAAGAAATTTAAATAGTACCTAGAAATTAGTTTGGGCTGCAGCTCAATGCACTAATTTCAATGCTGTGTTGCTTGCTGAATAGTTTAAAATCCTTTCAAAGCAGTAGGTGTATTCCCTCCTGCAGTAACAAAACGGTATTCATCTTTATCAAGATGCTCTGGCGTTTATAATTTGGTATCCAACAATCAGCCGAGAATGCTCTCTTTCTGAATGCTTTGGCCAACCGACCTCGAAGAGCCAACCAGTCCAGAACCAGGGGCGCTGAGCTGGGTGTTCCTCGGGGACGGTGCCCACTGCCCGCTCGGCCCACGGAGTTTCCCGAGCTGCCCCTCGCACTCCTGCTGCGGGCAGAACGGGGGCAGTCCCCTGCCTCTGTTTCCCAACTGCTTTGGTAACTCAGTGACCCTCTGTGAAACTGCAGTCAGAGGACTTTCCTTCCGTAGTTTCATTGTAAGAGGTCATCTGTGAGTCAGAAGATTTCGCCGTGGCCTGATTTCCCACCCTTTCTGCCCGTGCAAGCCGAAAGAGCTCATGATGGCTTCACTTTTGCCACTCTTCCAACTTGCCAGTTCCATCAGGAGCCCGAAATCTTTGCCCCCTTCTTGGCGGAGCCAAGTTCGAGCGCACAGATTTCCCGAGCTCCGGCGGCCAGGGGGCACTGTGTGCGCTGCTGACGTCACCCCTCCGCCCGGCCGAAACCAGGCGGCGGGATCCCACCCAGTGGAGTAGAGGGAGCAGAAGCCGTGACTTAGGGCTGGCGACGATTAAAGCAAGGAACGAGACACCGGGCAGATGTATTTTCATTGCCCTGTAAGATAAATGCAGTGTTAAGTGTCTGACAACTTCCCAGAAGCAATCAGCAAAAGTTTACGAGTTCGTAAACCTCAAAGACCATTCCCCAGCGGTTGTTATAAGGCCCATATTTAGAGCTTCCATAAATTCTTCGGCCATTTTCCGAAGCAAAGTTTTCAGCGACTATTAAGCAGTCACCTCCTCCGGGGAGACTAGGGAAATCTTTCTTGAATTACAAAAAGAAGTGGATTTTGGCTCCTACCGAATAACTTAAAGTTGTGCAAAAGTTTGTTCCAGAAGTTTGGATGGCCAGGGAGTGGAGGGTGGTGATAGGTCGTGGAGATGGGGACGGGGAAGGTCACCAGGTGAGCTCAAGTGTTTGTTGTCTGATGAGGGCGACAGGCAAAGGTCCTGCGAAGATCTTGGGTCTAGCTGAGGTGGCAGGGCCTTTGCCTCCCTCAGTGTCGCCCCTACTCTGCCAACCTGGCTCTGCGGCTCACAGCCTCGCATGGCGCCCCCCACCAATCCCAGGCATGATCGATCCTTTGCCTTTCAAAAGTCCAAGTCTGGCCGGCAGGAATCCAGGCGCCCGTCGAAAGGTGCTAGTCCACAAAAAGGGCAAGCTAGCTGGAGAAATAAGTCAGACATCCCGAGATGTGTCTCCACCCTGCCCAGCCAAGACCGTGTCAGCCTCCGTCCTCCCGAAAGTGACCCAAGGACTTTGATAAGTTAGTGTCATGCATTTATGACCCACCTATGTTTAGAGAGAACCTTTGTTTATGATCCCAGTGAAAACAAAGCTGATAACTGAAAAAACAGTAACACCAGCGCGTCTTTAGCTTTCTGAAGGGAGAGGTTAACAGCTGCGAAAGCCTGGGAAGCGACGGTGGAAGGGGTGCGGTGAGCGAAGGGCCGCCCTGCACGTAAACAAGCCTCGGGGTCCCCGACGAGACACGTGTGACCGCTCAAGCCTGCAGAATCCCCGGTCTCGGTCCCAGGCACAAGAGCCTCCCGCAGACCCGCCTGATCTTCCTCAATCTTTAGGTGCCAGGACATCCAAAGCTGCTTAGGAAACCGACGTCTACATAGCATTTCTGTCCCCTGAAGATTGGATCTCAGGGAACTATTATGGAAAGATACTGCTAGGTCCCTTTTCATCCCTTCCAGGTGAAAATACAGACATTTCTGTGTCGCCCTCACCCTTCCTTTATGAAATAAGGTGCCCAACTGTTCTGAGATTACCATTCAAAAACAGGTTCTGTGGCGGACCTCATTTGTGAATCTATTACAGAGATTAATAGATTATTTCTCCTTTTTCAACTAATTCTCAGTGGGGAAATTTAACCATATGGTAAGAAGAGAATTAGAATTTCATCACATTAGAGCAAAATGTAATGAAAAGAGTCCAACACCTGGGGCCAGCTCTGAAAGCCACAATTAAAAGGTTTTTAATGAAACCAGAGAAACCAAAAATTGCATAGTCTCCAGTAATTCTGCCATATAAGAAAGAGTTATTGGAAGGTGTTGGGAAATATTGTGTTTACTTATGTCATAAGAATGAAAAACAGCTGCTAAATACCATGTGTACCCAGAGACCGAACTCAGCATCGAGAGGACCGCGTGTACCATTGCCTATCCGGAGACGAGCGCTTGTTTTCACATTCTCCCTTCCCGAACCCTCTTAGAACAACCGAGGCTGATCCAGATGTCCTTAAATGGCTTCCGGGTAAATAAATATGCATAAATGCCTCACTTGGTGTGGGAGCGGATTTGACTCCTGGTGAAGTTGACCCTTTTGAAACAACCAGATTTTCATCTTAAGGAAAGTTTGAGAAACCAGTTTTGTTCTGTTGTTTAGGAAACCGTGTACTTGATAATTACCATCACTGTAACAGTTGTTTGGAGACCACTGCGAAATCACTCCCACCCCACCTTAAAAAAAAAAAAATGAATGCATGATCACTTGCTCTTCATTTTTTCTTTCTTTCTTTCTCTTTCTTTCTTATTTCTTTCTTTCTTTCTATCTTTCTTTCTTTCTCTTTCTTTTCCAATCTGGGTAGGTAATGGGCAGTAGGGGGTGTGGAAATGAGGCAGAGTGTTCGGGGGGACGACTGCTTTGCTCTCTGACTAGCTGAAAGTCTAGAACGAATTTTGGGCAAGCCAGCTGGGACACCACCTTCTCTCGGAAAGTCCCATCTCCAAATCCAGACCCTACGAACAGGGGTGGAGTATAATTCTCGCCCGGAAGGGTAATTCAGCACAAGCTGAGACAGCAGTGGCGAGGGAAGGGCAGTGGGGGGTGGGGTGCGGTGGGTGGGGGTGTCTGCTTTCCACAGGACTCCCAGGCTTCGCCGCCGATCTACAATTTGCTGAAGGAGCAAAGAACATCCTCGGCTCTAAGTAGGGCTTTTAGTGTGCTCATTGATGAGTGAAAGTCGCCACACATGTCAAGCTAAAGGCAGTTGTTGGGTTACTAACAGGACCCAGCGCCTTGCAAACATATGCGCTAAGCTGTGTATACAGATGGCAGGCAGAATAATGGAGCAGGCGCCTTTTATAAAGCTCTAGCTGCTGCCTGTCTTCAGACCTGGGAAATGAAACTATTCAGACTCGCGGCCAGATAGCGCCTGCGATTGTTTGTTACCGTTTTAATCCTATTAATTAAAACGTTAACCTGATTGGGTAGAAAGCGCTGTCCCAACAGGCGAGTCTTCTTCATAATAACCTACTCAGAGATAATGATGTAAAAGACTCCCCCGTCTGTGGCGGCGGCTGGTTGATGGGTCCGGAAATCTCTTGAAGGTGAATCCAAGCAAGATAAACGGTGCGGAGAGGAGGCGCAGGGCTGGGCTCAGAGCGGCGGCGGCGGCGGCGGCGGCTCCACTCCCTCCGCGCCCACCCTCCCACCATGCGGGGCCGCGGCCCATGGTGAGCCCCAGCAGCCAGCACCATCGGCTGGAGACGAAGAAGAAGAAGAAGAGGAGGCGGCGAGCGCGGGGGAAGGCGAAAAAGAAAAAGAAAGAAGGGGAGAGGGCTGCCGGCAGCACGAGGACCGACGCGCGCACCAGCTCCGGAGCCCGGCTCGCGCGCGTCTGTGGGGCCGCCTGACTCCGGAGCCGAGGCGGCGGCGGCGGCGGCGGCGGCGGCGGGCTCGGCGGCCCGGGCTGCGCGCCGGCGCGGGACCATGGAGCGCGGGCTGCACCTCGGCGCGGCGGCCGCGGGCGAAGACGACCTCTTCCTGCACAAGAACCTGAGCGCCTCCACCGCCAAGCGCTTGGAAGCTGCTTTCCGCTCCACGCCCCCGGGCATGGACTTGTCCCTGGCGCCGCCGCCTCGGGAACGCCCGACGTCCTCCTCCTCGTCGCCCCTGGGCTGCTTCGAGCCCGCTGACCCCGAGGGGGCAGGGCTGCTGCTGCCGCCGCCTGGAGGCGGCGGCGGCGGCGGCGGCGGCGCGGGAAGTGGCGGCGGCGGCGGTGTCCCCGGGCTGCTCGTAGGCTCAGCCGGCGTTGGGGGCGACCCTACCCTGAGCAGCCTGCCGGCCGGGGCCGCCCTTTGCCTGAAATACGGCGAAAGCGCGAGCCGGGGGTCGGTGGCCGAGAGCAGCGGCGGCGAGCAGAGCCCCGACGACGACAGCGACGGTCGCTGCGAGCTGGTGCTGCGGGCCGGAGTAGCCGACCCGCGGGCCTCCCCGGGCGCAGGAGGCGGCGGCGCGAAGGCGGCCGAGGGTTGCTCGAACGCCCACCTCCACGGCGGCGCCAGCGTCCCCCCGGGGGGCCTGGGAGGCGGCGGCGGCGGCGGGGGTAGCAGCGGCAGCGGTGGCGGCGGCGGCGGCGGCAGCAGCAGCAGCAAGAAATCCAAAGAGCAAAAGGCGCTTCGGCTCAACATCAATGCCCGAGAGCGCCGGCGGATGCACGACCTGAACGACGCGCTGGACGAGCTGCGCGCGGTGATCCCCTACGCGCACAGCCCCTCGGTGCGAAAGCTCTCCAAGATCGCCACGCTGCTGCTCGCCAAGAACTACATCCTTATGCAGGCGCAGGCCCTGGAGGAGATGCGGCGCCTAGTCGCCTACCTCAACCAGGGCCAGGCCATCTCGGCTGCCTCCCTGCCCAGCTCGGCGGCTGCAGCGGCAGCTGCAGCTGCCCTGCACCCGGCGCTCGGCGCCTACGAGCAGGCGGCCGGCTACCCATTCAGCGCCGGGCTGCCCCCGGCCGCCTCCTGCCCGGAGAAGTGCGCCCTGTTCAACAGCGTCTCCTCCAGCCTCTGCAAACAGTGCACGGAGAAGCCTTAAACACACCCCCGAAAAACACAAGACCGACCCAAAAGCTAGAGGAAAGCGAAAAGCTGCTCCCCACCCCCTTTATTTTGGTCCTCTCGTAGTTGTGAAATACTTGCAGAGCAAACAAAGCAGAGGCAAGAACTGAGAAGTATCAGAGACAAAACGGGACTTTTAGCTTTGACATCCCCAGAATCTCGGTCTTCGGGGTGGGGAGGGAGGGAGGAGGGAGGTGGAATTGGGATGGAGTATGGATGTCTTTTTTTTTTCTGAAAGTGGCAACTTTGTTGGCAGCCTAGACCTCGAGGAAGTGGAATCTTCCTTAAAGGTGAAAAATAAGTTGAGAAGTAGTGCTTGGTTATTAAGCCTGGAGAGTGTTTCAAAGGCAAAATACTAATCTTACTAATAATTGTGAATTTGGCTAGTGCTGAGGGGGAGAGCAGGAGTTAGGGGTTGGGTAGCATGAGAGATGGAATATTCATTCAGACAAATCAGAAAGGGCACTTGAAAATAAATTTTGATTCTGAGCCAGGAGAAAAACTTGAAATGTTGACTCAAGTGAGGGGGGAAAAACCCAGAGAGAGAGAGAGCGCGCGCGAGAGAGAGACATGATGCTATGAAAGACTTGTATTTTTTATTGTCTCTGAACTTTAATCCTGTGAAAATGCTCAAAGTTTTGGCGAGAGTGATATAGAAAAACTGACTGTGGCTGAAAGAATTGCATTTAAAAATATTTATGTGCACCTTGTTACTTTCTATTCTGCAATGATGTATTAACAATTATGGTATTTATTTGTTATTCTTCAATGACCCTTCCACGTCAACAGTATTTATCATGTGTTAAGGTCATGGGTCTTATGTGCAGATTTTTTTAATGCCTCTAAAATTGTTTTATAGATTACTTATACTGTGTGCCAAGTGTTTAAAGGTTTATTTGCCAATAAGTATGAAGAGAAATATTGATGTATCTGAGCTGCTTAGGTTTATGAAAGGTCACCTGGATATTTTCAGTTGCATCATCCCTGTATTTAAATTGAGCTTTAATAAATTGCTTCAGTCCAAAAATTACAGGAAAGGTGTATTCTTAATTGATGAATGAATTGATCTCTTTTTTGAAAGGGGACTCCTTTGCATTCCAAAAGGGAAAAACATCACAGCAATAGATCCTATACGTAAGAACATGCTAAGCAAATATTTTTCCAGGCTGTGCTGTGCATTTTTAAAAGGTCTAATTTAATTGCTTTTAATATATATGTACATATATAAGTTATTTTAACTGTGGAGAATTATTTAAGTTAAAAGACTGGGTTGATTTGCCTATGGTGTGAAATCCTTGGTTATTTTTCTAAAAAAAATAAAATAAAATTTAAAAAGAAATAAAACTAAGGAAGAACAAGAAGCTATTTACCCAAAGTGAGCTTTCTTCAGTTTTAGTTTTGCATGGCTGTTTGCCTGCCTTTCCGTCCTATGAAAATCAAGAAAATCTTTTTTAAAAATGGAGTCCTGCTATTTTCCACTCCTTGCAGATAATACAAATTCAGTTTGTCAGGTTGGATGGTGAGTTGGGAGCTGTGATGGATCTGTTGGCGGGTTTCGGATGTGTAAAGAATGATATATATATTAAATAGGTCAATCAGACTATGACAGCTATGTACGACCATTTGTATGTGTATCTATGTCAGAAAGAATCTTTATTAAAATATTTTGATCAAATATTTTATTATGCTGTGATTTGTGAAAGGAGCAATCACCTCTCTTCTGTGTTACTCTTTGCTTGAAAGGTAACAAAACAGAAAGGAGTTTCAGAGAAGGTGGAACTGAAGTTTTTGCAGGGATGCCCAATTAGAAGTAGCCCTAGTTTACTTGTTTACTTGTTATAAGGAGGAGAGATTAATGGGTCAATGGTGAAACCCAGAAGAGATTCAAAGTTTCTGGCTACTGGCATGAACTTTGAAGGCCACATTCTCCCTGGAAATCTTTTACCGCTTGTGTGGTGCTGTTAACCATGCCAGGACCCGTCAAAGAGGGTAAAGTTTCTTAAAGAGTTTGTCATCAAAATTTCTACCTCCAAATGCCTGAAGGCCAAGGAAAAAAAATGGACTTGAATTCTCTGAGTGCTGATTTGATTGTGGCTTTCTACATTTCTGTGATAAAAAGAATTAAGTAGTTTGAATTATATAAGCATACTGCCCATAGAGATTATCAGAACTTAGTAGTGTTGCTTAATGATGAGACGGACTTTTAGCTTCCATGTTTGCATTGATTCTGTTAAAGAATGACTGTCTAAACTTGTATTTTGACCTCTACATTGCCCTCGAATATTAGAAGGTGTGATTTTTTTTACTGTGGCGCAGGTTGCAGAGATAGTAGTGGTGGTGGTGGTGCAGAAGTGAGATGTTCCCTCTGTACCCAGTATGCTAAATGCATTATTGTCTGTATAGCTTCCTCTCATAAAGATATCCCTAAATGCCATCAAACTTAGTGGGGGGTGAAGGAGGATATTTTCTGCTCCACTTGCCATCAAAAAAGATTAATCAGAACTTGTAACTTTTCAGAAAACATAACAGCAAAAGGCCTTGAAGCTGGAGCCCTCCCAGACTGGGAGTGGGGGCAGAAGGAGGGAGGAGACCAGGGCAGCCCCCAGGCAGGAGCTGACCCATCTCTCAGCATTTACCAGACAAAGCCTGGGTGCGTCTAATTATGATTATTAAAACAATTTCCATGACGATGTCTAATATTATGTTAATTTGAAAACAACTGTGTATGAAAACTGTCGACTATAATACCTAAATTCATTTAATGAAACACATCGTTAAGGCAATTAAACCTCCTGGATGTGATTAAGAAACATAATTACGACACTGTTCTGCGCCATAATTGGGTGTCTTTAATCAAGGGGTAAAGTGATCAGCAACACAGCCATTAGTTTGTATTGTTCTGGGCCTGCTGTCCATCATTCTGATTAGGAATTAACCACAGCCACCACCAGTCAGATTTTTTTTTCCTTTTGCATATTAATATTGTAGGGGACACATTTGCTGCGAGATTTACTACTTAATATTTCTCATTATTTGAGGGCCTTTTTGAAATACTTCCTCTGCAGCTTTTGAACTGTTTAACTATTATTAAAAAATGTACAGAATAACACATCTTGAACTTTAGGGGAAAAAATAAAGAAATGAGAATCCTCCTCTTTCATCACTCAGCCTGCAATCTTAGTACTGAATGGATGGGGGTGGGGATAGGAAATATTGAGGATCAATTCAAATGTCAGATAAATAGGCATAATTATTTAATGTATTAGGTTTATTAACATTTATTTTCATTTTGATAATCTTAAACAAATCAACTCTCTTTCCAGACCTAGGAATTGGCCAGCCTGCAATAAACACGGAACATCTGAAAGAAACAGGAGAGGAGTTTTCTGTGGTTTACTTAGGTGATTCTCCCTGCCCTAACTCCAACCTTTCTAAAGGGTTTTCAGCAGCAGTTTTAAGAGAAGGAAGCCAGGGATTTGAAGGAAAACTCTTTCCACTCCCGATAAAGCCCTGGGGCCACTTTCTTTCTGGGGTTTGAGCCTTGAGTTTTGGCCTAGTCTGAAACGTTAGCCCACACACCATTGGCCCCAGCTGTCTGTCCAGCATGGAGCAAACACGTCGGAAATGGGAGACGGAGCGCCAGGGGAATCAGTGTGGTCTTGCAAAACTGTCCCTGGGCCAGAGCAGACAGCCTGGTCCCTAAGACTACAGCATGTGCCAGGGTGCAGAGCTTGCTCTGGCACAAACCATGCCTTGGGGTGCTTCTGTCAGGCACACCCATTCCCACCAGTCCGATCCCGTTGCTCGTGTTCCTTTCAGAGCTGAGAGTGGACAGATGATGCTAAGCAAAAAACCCAGATTCCCACTTGGCTTTTTATTCTCACTAAGGTTCCCATAGCCAGCTCGACACTGGGCACCAGCAGAAGCGTCAGCTTTGCGTCTACCACTGCAGGACCAGCAACTGATCATCTTCGAGGAGCTCTCTAGTTACCCCTCCTTCTTTCTCCCCATGGTGTATTAGTGTGTGTGCGCGAGTATGCGCGCGCCCGCACCCGCCTGCGCTCTGCAATACCCTCACCAGTCCCCGCAGCTGGGCAACCCCTCCAAGTCCCTGTGTTATGCTGAAATTCCTCTGTCTCCTATCGCACCCACCACCCATCCTTACAGCCGGCAGTCCAATAGGGAGGGCCGAGGCTCACAGAATTCTCTTCTCCACGAACTGGCACTTTTGGTCTAACATTAAGAAACTGAACCTTTCTATGCGGCCCCGACCTTGCGATTGCTACAGCATGAGTGGCACTGACTTTTCCAATGTAATGACTTATGAAAGGTATAATCATGTGTTAAATTGAATCCTCCGTTTAACTGTTAATGGTGTGCTCTGGGCACATTTACGTATTAGATGCTATGGTAACTAATTACCACTAGAAAAAAGGATAATACACTTCCCAGACTTTGAAAAATAATCATGAGTTCACTTCCCAGCTCGCAGCACATCGTGACGGCCCTGCCGGGCGGAGCAAGGATACTAGTGAAAACCCGAAAGTGTGTTCATGGAATGTAGGAGGTGATGAATCCTGGTCAGGTGAGGCTCCTTAGTTAAACCTTTAAAGAAAATGTGATTCAGATGGAAAGGTGGAGGGAAAGGGGGCAACTACGCAAAGGTGTCTTTAAACAAAATTAAATTACAAAACCTGAACATCAGAAACACAAATAGGTTTTCTTTCGATTAAAATGCAGGTAAGACTAAATCACCCACGTGCCAAGCAACTTTACATTAATTAACATTTTTTGTAGTGTGGGCAAAGTAAATGAGCCCGTCTCCTGCGCGCTTTGCATTGGCATTTTACAACTCGAAAGTCTCTGGATTTGCCAAGCCAATGAGCTGCAGGTTTATTTAAACTCGGCCTTTTAAATCAAACTTTAGACACAGTGGATGGAAGGAGGGACACAGAAAAATAAGGAGCCAGTCACTTCAGTTTAAGAGTAGAAACAATTCTCAAGGTGAGAGTCTTTTTCGCCCAGCAAATCTCTGCCTCTTCTGATCCTTTGGTGTTTAAAACCAAGGTTCCAGTAAACAGGGCTGCGTGGGATAACCAGGAGCCCGTTTTCCCAACCAAGGAGAGTTGTTCATGCTGGGGACTTTGAAGGACCGGAGGAGGGAGGAGGCCGCCTTCTAGCAGGTCCAGCAGCGAAACCAAATGACGTTCACGCATCTCTCGCACCCATTGCGTTGTTTTGCTTGCGCTGTGCTCCCCGAGGGACTGCGGATCTCCACAGCACCCCTGCTCTCCTGGCTTCCCCTGGACCAGCGTTTCCTGCCACTCCTGGCCCTTCAACCTCCAAGTTCCATTGAACAAAAAGTGAACTTCAGGGGCTCTGCCTCAAACTGTCCTTCGAGGGTGGCTGGAGTCCCCTGTATGGCAGCAGGCATGTGGGTTCGCACGTAGCCGCCAGGCTTGTAAGACACCCCGCAGCCGCACCAACCCCGAGGCATCCACGAAAGCGCCCAGATTTCAAACTCCAAAGAGCTCCTCACTTCCTCCTCATGCTGCAGGGAAACTGCTGCCTTCCCCGAAGTTTGATTTGGGTTAAATTCTACCAATTTTTCTAAATTACTCGCCTTAACAAATCCAGGAGACTGTTTCTGAACTATTGCAGCATTATCAAGTATACTAAAATGTGTGTGTCTGAATTTTCCTTCTTTCTCCTCTCCACTTTTCTCTAATTTAGGCAGCACAGAAATATAGATTAGAGAGCTCTGAAAGAGAAATGAATGGGTTAGGAAGGTTAGACTGCAGAGCAAAAGAGAATTTGACAGTTATCAGTCCTCACCACCCCCAACCCCACTACCTATATGATGACAAGGCTCACAAGTCACCACCATGCTTTGATGGGGAATTGGCTTTAATTATGCACAATGTGTTCATTCTCCTTCCCAGCTTGGGAAAGAGTTAATTCTTTCCCAAAGACCATAGTTGCCCTTGTCTCCTCAACCTGATTCAGAGATGCAATAAAATATGAAGGAAATTTATGGTCTGTTTCAAGCATTTTATTGCTGTATTTTTAAATTCATATATGCACATATAAGAACTATGATCTGTGAATAATTTGAAATGCTATAGAAGAATGATACATTTTAGATAAAACATAACCATATCTTTATATAATTGTCTAAGATTAAAATAAAAAAGAAAAATAGATTTCTAATGTGGGCCAAACTGAAAAACTAATGACAGCCATAAACTGCTAACCAACCATAAATTAACATCTTCATCAAATGCTAAAATGGTATCAGTGGTTATATAAAGCAATCATTATTTCTCCTCATAGGTTTTAGAATAAAGTTCAGAGATATTTAAAGGATCCATTATTTACAAATGTTTCCTCAATCTTAAAGATTTCATTTTTTTATTAGGAGGATGGTTGCAACTCAAATCTGCTATGTTAATAGAGACAAGAATTTAAATTTAAACATAAAAATGTTTCATGACCTAACCTCATTTTATACATGTATCCTGCCCTGGCAATTACTGAAGAACCAGGTATAAGGATGTCCCCTTTACATATCCTTATCCACTTTTTGAAAAGAGATAAACAATCTCTGATTATGAGAGAGACTCAGTTTTTGTACCTAACTAGTCAAAATAATAAATCATGCGTTGTCTAATCAAGTAAGAACAGCTACATTTGCCATGTGCAATCAATTTCTGCAGTAGTGCTATGGTCAAAATTCAGATGCCAGGCTGCATGAGCTGCTACTCTCCATCTAAGATTTTGATGAAAGCAAATGGTTTTCCTAATCAGGCCTCCACAAAAGAAATGTGAAGAGTTGGGAAAGAACAAAGGATATCTATCAATACCAGCTGTATCAGAAAGCAGGGTCAGCTAATACCTGCATCTAAAGAACTTTCTTTCATTTCCTTGGGAGAAGCATCAGGCATACATCTCTTTAAAGTATAGATTTCTTAAGAGAGTGAACTTAAGTAAAATTCTGTAATTATTCAACAAAGTAAGCTCCCTTAAAAGTTCACAAAATTATCCTTCTTGAAAGCAAAACAATTATCTGGCCTATGAAGATGTGGGTAGTGCACATACTCAAACTATCTCTGCCACTGGGTTATGATTTACAGCATGTTGTCCCATGGAGTAGTTGATGTAGATGATTATTCTCAAAGATCAAGGATTAATTAAAATCTTGAACTGGTTAAGTCCTAAGACAATTCCCTAATTTAATTTTCTGCAAGCAAAAATAAAAACTATGTTTGTAACGTTTCTTTAAGTCTAAATTTAGTTCAAAATAAAAAGTTTTTTAAAAACTAAATGTGTAATTGTTCAATATGAAGGAAGTACTACTACATGTAGTTTTGACTTCATAAAAAGTCCAAAGTGATTGCAAATACTTTTAAGGGTACTCCATTTAACATAAAAACAAAGGCGTTTATAAAACTTTAAATAAACTCACTAGTCCTTAGAATTATGGAACTGAAGTAATTTCATTGAAACTTTAATTTTAATATGAAAGACAAAAACATTTATTAAAAGGTTTGGCATCAGGCAATAATGACACACTTTTTTTGTTAACTACAATGGCTAGTTCTTAGAAACAAAAGTTATATGCAGTAAATATCCTCTTGCACACAAATAAGAATCTCCAACTAATATGTTTCATATTTAGAAATGTTTAAATTTGACTTAATGATGATTCATTAGATAGTGACACCTTTACCTGTTATTTCCATTCCTCTAGTTCCTCCTATAAGCACAATTGGCTGTAAGGGAAGTCAAATGCTTCATGATTGTTACCTCTGAACATTTACTTTCTTTGTAGTCTGCAATATATCATGTCTCTCCTTATAAAAGTCAACACATTTAGGAATCTAGAACATAAACTATACTTCGAATAATTAGCAGTAAACAGTAATATGCACTTTTTTTAAAAAACGCAGCACAGCCATTGTGTGTTTTTTCATCCTGAAAAGAAAATACACATTATTATTTGCATGATCATTGCTAATTCTGGAAAGTTCGGCAAATTTTTCTAAGTGTTTTCTGGAATAAAGTTGAAAGCAAAAGATAATTATTTCACAGTTTATCTATTTAAAGACATAATTTATCCTAGGTGGCAAATAAGCAATACTGAGCTGACGAGTTCAAATGAACAGGAGCACCTTCTAGCAGATTTCTCAGAGTCTTAGGCCAGTTCCTATAAAATGTAAGTGACTCACACCAGTGTCTTTGAGAAAAGCCCACTGTCCCTAGTCCAGAGACATTTAAAGGATCTGTTATTTACAAATGTTTCTCAATCTTAAAGATTTCATTTTTTAATTAGGAGGATGTAGGTACAGTTACTAAATGTACAGATCTAATACTGTAGGCACAGTTACTAAAGAGCCACATTTCATTTTCATCACCAGCATTCTGTAGTATATGCTTTATTTACAATGTATTTTAAATAGAATAGAATACTATCCAAATGTTACCCAGCTTTATTCATCATCTGTGGTAAAGTGATCGGCTGAAAACAGGGATTACATCTACTGAAAACTCTCTCCTGTTTCTTGTACTGATACTTCTCTCCATACTAATAGTGATTATTAAGAATTGTAACCTAGCAAGGTCAGCCTGCCTAAAATAAACATTTAAAAATTTAGTGATTTTTTTTTTGAGTTTGTTATTTTACAAATTAATAATAAGTTAAAATATATCGAACCATACTCTGAAATAGTTAATGCATTTTTTGGAGAGCATCAGATGATAATATATGTGTATGGGGGGAGGAAATGGAGATGAGCAGATATTAACAGAACAAAATTATTTTCCTAATAATTTTCTTCTGTAATCAAATCTTCTGTTACCCAACATGTTCGTAGTATGACAATAAAGAGACACAATCGTCCTCTGTGCTTTAAAAAGTTAATTTATTAAATTTTGGTCATACATAAAAGAACATTAAGTATTAGGCTTGCAAAGTACTTGCATTTCTTTTTTTTTTTTTAGTACTTGCATTTCTTATCTAACATCTTTTAAGACAATTTGATTCATCTAAATCTATATATATGTTATTTTAAAATCAAAGAATATTAAACAAATAATTTCAGAAAACTGTTTTAATAATATACAGCAGTCCTCTGTCTGAAAATATTTTTAAAACATGAGTATTGACAAATTATTACCTATTTTAAATTGTGCAGAGTTTTTCATGTATTAAATTTATTTTACTCTACAAGTAGTATAAACAAAATAAACATTTAAGCTAAAAAGTTCAAACATCCATGATCACTGATTTAGATAAATACAATGAAGTAGAGTAAGTAATAATTGCTTTAGGTAAATACTAAAGAGTTTTATATGATCACTCATTATAATTTAAAATAGTGCTACAGAAAATGTCATCTTGGCTTGCTAACTTTTTCTTAATTGAGTATGTGAATATGAATATCTAATTATGCAATATAAGTAAATAATAGTTTGCAAGATTGGCAAATTTAACAGGTTAAAAAGTGTACATTCTAAGGGCACGTAATTCTTGTTCACATAATTATTGCCATTCTTTTATACTAAGATCAAAACCTAAATAAATTTTGTGCTTTGGTCTTTGAACAGTTTTAAACTTCTACTGTTAAGTTAGAAGTCACTTGCAGAAAATGTTACTCAAATTATTTTTTATGATAAAATAAGCATTAAAAAACCATGATGATTTTCCATCACAAGACTCTGATGTTTTGTTTTGTTTCTACTGTTCATTCCTTTTAGGTAATCTTTCTTAACTATTTTATTTATTCTTACTTTTCATTTCTAAATTCCAAAATACATTTCCAATTATAAAGTAATCAAAAACTGCAAGGAAATAATTTCCTGTGTTCTCTGTGCCTTAACATCACAAAAGTGTACCACTGAGTGGAATTTAAGAATATGGAACTTCCGCTTCAGGCAACATGGTGGACTAGATGTCCAAGTACAAAAAGGGCAGACTACGCTTTGTGGTGGACTAAAGCCTAGGGCCCAGGTTGAGGATGCCTGTGTGTGTGTGTGTGTGTGTGTAATTCAAGGCCTTTGCATAAAACCAAGAACTTGCAGAGAAAACATACTTAGTAGGTGAACTGGAAAGAAACTTTGCTCCACAGAGTAAGACTGTCAGTATTTGCCTGCCTCAGTCTTAGCTCTGGGTAAAAAATAAACAAACAAGTGAACCCCTAGAAGTGTCTCCTGTCTATTCCTAATACTAGGGTTGCATTCTACCTAAGTTAGGACTAGAAACCACAATACCTATTTAGCCCTTCCTCCCCACTCCTAGATAATCAAGCTGAAATTTTGGGGGTGATCTGAGTTTAGTAGTAATATCAGCAGTCTGACAAATGCAAATACAAATTCCCTCTTGAGGAATAAACTTTAAATCTAGGTCTAAACATTTTTCCAGAGATAAAAATCCAAGGAACATGGATTCAGTTAACAAACCATCCCAGGTAACAGTGACAGAAAAAATAAACACATAAACTATAGAATTAGATCCACAAAACACCAAAGATTTGGAAATATCAGATACAAGATCTAAAATGTTTGCTTCATATAGTTAAATCACAAAGGATATTGGGTATATGACAAAGGTACAAGATATTATAAAAAATAACCAGCATATATGAAGGACAAAAGGAATTCTCAAACTGAAAAATGTAATCATTGAACTTAGCAAACTCAGTGGAATGGAAAACCTGAAGTTTGACAAGTTGGAGGCTGACACTCTGACTCAAAATCAACCTTTGAGACCCTACAGAATGGAGAGGATTGGATGGATGTGAGGATGGGACATAACAAATGTACAACATCTTAGGGAAAATTAAAGTTATCATGGACTAAATGTGTGTGTGCGTGTGTGTGTGTATGGGTAGGGGTTGGGGACAAGGTTGTTAGCAGCCCAGGGCTGAGGATGGCTAGGCACAGTAGTGGGAGGATAGGTGACAGAAGACCTTTTAAATTCTGCCTTGGCCTCTCTCCCACAATAACTGTCCCATTGACAGTGTCCATCACTGGGTAACTATCATTAAAACATAATGTGTGCATATTATGGAATGCTATGCAGCAGTCAGAAGCAATAAATTAAATATAGTATATATAGAAATATGAATATATCTTTAAAATCACAGAGCTTAAGAAAATTGGAAAAGATACAACTTACAGAAAATAGGTACTCAAGATAATACATATTACATGAAAACATACACATACCAAGATGTGCACCAAACACATTAGAATATTTGCCCATTATATTAAAAAGGGGTATGAAAGCGGGGACTAGGGACAAAAGAGAATAAGTAAATAAAACCAGCGGGTCTTTGTTAGAACCAATTATAATTGTGTATCATGAACTAAAGAGTATAAGGAGAATGATCATGCAACCCTATGAACCTTAAGTTGAAACAAAAAGAAGGAAAAAACAAACTCAATGGATGAGCTGGAGAGATTAAATATACAGTTCCAAGAATAAACTGGAAGAGACATCTAAAGAAATTATCTGGAGGGTAAGTTTGAGATAAAAAGAGTGGTGAGAAAAGGTCAAAGCATATGGCATGCAGAGGGAGAGAATCTAGAGTTTGAGAACAGTAGCATTCACAGAGAGAATGGCTGAGAAGATTCCATACTTGATGGTAGACACCCATGCTCAGACTCAAGAAGCAGCAGGACATACAAGCATGAGAAATAGAAAGAACCTAAGAACATCAAAGACAAAGAGAACACATTAAAGTATTTAGAGAGAAGAGACAGACCACCTAATGAATAATCACTCACTAGTGGCTATCCTCCCAATAACAAGAATGGATGCCTTTAGAACGGGCAATATCTTCAAAGTGCTGTGAGGAAATAACTGTCAATCTAGATTTGTGCATCCAGCAAAACCATCTTTCAGAATGAGAGTAAAAATAAAGACATCCTCAATCAAGCAAAAGTAGAATTTACACCGGCAGGCCTTCACTAAAGGAACACTCAGAACATGTACTTCAGAAAGGAGAAAATAAATGCTAGACTATCTTATTTACTTATTATGAATGATATTTTGTAATGTTATTTTTAAAGTCATTTTCCTTTTCTCAAAACAGTAGCAAATTTATGAAGCACAAATTAACTGGGCTCCATTACCTGCCTTGCCTGCTTATATACTGCATCATCATTTATGTCAGATGCAAATCATGTGGTACTCTGATATTAGAAGCTTTGAATCACTGGGCTTAGTGGCACATGCCTGTAGTCCAGGTTCCCAACGGGCAAAGGCAGGAGGATCACTTGAGCTCAGGATTTGAGACCAGCCTGTGCAACACAGCTAGATACTGTCTCAGTTGAAAAAAAAAATATTTGAATCATTGACACAATGCTGCATGTGTCATATGAAATTACACTGCATTACATGATGTAATTCAAAATAGTACACACGAACTCCAAATCCAACAGGTGAAACATCAGAATGAAATACTACATCTAGCTTCTCAGTTTATATATATGAAAGCATTTAGGAAAGGGTTAATTGGGATATTTGCATAACTTTTATAATTTATACTAAAGCCAAATGCTATAATCAATGCTGTAATGATTTCAACATTTGCTCCCATAATAAACCTAATACTAATGTCTAGGGCAATTGCTGAATATATAATAGGTTCTGTGTTTTCTTATAGATTAAATCTTATCAGTATCAAACTTGAACTTGAAAGGTCTTATAAAACAAGAAATTTTGTTCTATTGAGCCACAGAATACAAAATAATAAGGAACATTTACGCCTGATTAAATATTGAAGTGAAGTTGAAGCATTAATCTACTGCAAAACTCATTTAATGCACACGCACCCTGGAAATATAAGTATTATTGACATTATACTTGAAGGGAACATTTTCATCCAGTGTAACTCATGGAAATTTAATTTCCTTCTTCTGTGAGAATTTGGAATTTGTTAAACTGTGTCCATTTCCACCACAATTTTCTAATAGTTTGTAAAGTATATTTTCACACATTAGAGAATAATTTGAATGACTTAAATTCCACAGTGACCAATCCATTGCTGTGACAGTACATTTATTATAACAGGTAAGAATCACAAGGAAAAATTAAAAACCGAACAAACAAAAAATCCCTGTTTTGAACTTATCCTGAGGTTGATTTCGATGTCCATTTTCATGCCACCATCCTGTTCTATATTATGATAAGTTTTGTGACTAAGTACAAACTGGACTGATCTCAGACCAAACAGAAATCAGCACTTTTTAAAGAAATACAGCAATTACATTTGCAGAAATTCAAAAGAAATAGATGAGCTTAGGATGTTTAGGCTAATTTTGACAGATTTCTTTTCTTTCCTTTTAGCTTCTGTAAGATTTCACTTTGTATCTAAATAAAACATCGGAATTTGGACACTGTATGCCAAATAGCATGCGGCGGTAGTCTAGTCCTATGGGCTTATCATCAATTATTTCTAAATCAAAATAAGTTAATAGTATAACCAACAATTGCTTTATTTCCATAATTGCAAAAAATCGGCCTGGACATTTGGTGGTTCCAGTTCCAAATGGCATTAGGTAACACTTCAGCTTTTTCCCTCTTTTGAAAAAGGTGGTTTTCTTCTTACCATCTTCTACAAAACGATCATATCTAAACTCCTGAAAGAAGAATACAGTGTTAAAATTATTAACGTTTTACATAAAATAGTTTGAGTTCAAGTCCAAAAAGTTGCTAGCTCTCCTTGTCTGTCTTAGAAAGCTCATTTTAATCAGGTAAACACCAGAAAAACTTCACTGAATGCAAATAGGTGTGAACTTAAAAAAAAAACCTCAAATACTACTAGGAAATTATTTCCCCCATATCAAAGAGATATGAAAAGCTGTAAGACATTTTTTTCTCCACTCTTATTTCTCTCCTAAGCTGAGTGTCCCAAGTATAGTAGCAATATCTCCATTTTTCCTCCCTAAGGTGGGTCCTGACACATGGGCACTTGATTATACCAATGTTGGGGAGAAGGCAAGGGCTCCAGTGAGACTATCATTGTTACCCAGGACTGAAGAATCCTAACTAGCCACAGGAGCTGCCTAACTGTGCATTTCTAATTTGAGTTTCTCTTCTCCCTTCCCCGCCAGCTACTGATGGATGAGAACTATGAGTTTAGGATCTGTTGCTGATGTTTGGATTAAACAGATATAAAATAACAAGATTCGGGTAAAGCACTAGAGAGGAACTAAGCCACAAAATCAATCTTGTTCGTTTTTTGATGTTGTAGTGAATTTCTTCTATGAAAGTTCTATTAAAATCAGTTCTCTTTGGGTTTACTCTAGCGTGGCAGGTATTTCTGATATGTTTTCATAAACAGGTTATATTACTTTGTTACAGGAAATCGTGGGACTGCTTTACTTATGGTGTTGGAATTGCTATCTTAATTTTGCCTTCCTGCCAAAGGGTTATGGTTCAACTCTCACTTGAGTTTCTTAGAGCGGACTGAGTGACCTTATTTTAGCCTATGGTGGATTAAGCCATTGATTAAATTAATGCCCGTGGCTTGCATGAAAATGACCAAGTATTTGGTGTAGTTGGTGCTCATTAGCATTAGACCTGCTCACACACAACTTTAATATGACTACACGAAGTCCAATGCAAACAAGTAGGTCAGATCCAAAGCATTTCAGATTAAAGTGAAAACATTGCAATATGTGGATAGATCCTGAATTCATCACAAATGATTTAATTTTCTCACTCAAAACCTGTGTTGTTAATGTCAGTGAACCATTTCCTTTAAAAGTATTGGGTTTGTCCTCATTTATGTAGAATACTTATTTTGGTAAGTATTTCAGCTTAGAAAAATTCTGAGTAGTTCCTATTTCCTCTCAAATTGCAAGTGGATGCAATGATAATGGCAAAATTTATCTGCACTTTTATAACTGCTCAATTCCTCGTAATGAATACTCTGAGCCCTTTAAAACATGTATTTTACCATAGTTCTGGGATGTATCCAAACTGTATCTAATCAATGCTAAATCAACAAGGACAGCTTTTGTTGACAGAAATGGTCACTAGAGATAGAGTGACTAAATGTAACTCTCCTGGTGACCTTCTTCCATTTCTGGAGCTCAGGTCTGCTTGCCTGAGCTTAGTCCTGCTGCTTCCTCCTTCACACTGACCAGTCTGAGGAGACTAGCCATCTATCCATGAGCTCCCTGCCTAGCCCAAATCAGTTGAAGTGAGCTTTGCTATGATTGCTAGTTAGGAAGGTTCTCACTGTAGCCCCACTAGTTAAGCCAGCAAATGCGAAATGAAAACTGAGCTTGGATTATGACTTATTATTGTCCTCATACCATAGATAAGCCATAAATCACCATGGTTTTCAGATTCCTCTTTGTGAAAATAAATGTGCTGCCCGCTGAGAGGCCTGTGGCCAACACATGATGCAGGAGTGCTCCTTACCCATGACCTTCAGCTAGGGTTAATATTTAGTTGCCTCAAACTTCTACTCAACGAGTAATGCCATTCCTCTACTTTCCATCACGTTCTATTCAATTTCCTCATTGTAAACAAACATCTTAGAAATTCCTATTCGGTCGTTTATTTTGTGAAACTAAAAGGGAAATGGCCACTGTCTTTATCTCTGTGACCACCACCAAGTTCAAAGGGCACAGGAGCATAAATGTATTTTTGAGTTAAAATGTATTTGCATTTTGCTTTATTGCCTAGGCATGGAAAACCTAAACAGGAACCAATGTTAAGAAGGGCCTGTGTCAGCTGCTAGGGATATAGCTTAGTTGTAGCTGAAAAGGGAAGGGGTATAATAATCTTACCACTGAGATTCTGGGGTCACAGTGACACAGAACAAAGGTTTGGGAAGCTCAAGATATATCCATTCATTTGGAACAACTTAAACTTGGAATTCATCAAGCTGACTGAAACTCTTTACAGTGACTGTAAGAAGCATGATGCTTCGCAATTAAGGGGAGTCAATTAAATGGATGAGAAGAGAAAAATCACAAGAGAAGGTTTAAGACACGGGAGTTTCCCATGGTTACTCGAATGATGGTTGCAGTTGACTCCCCAACATTGTTCTTCTGCATAAAATGTGTCTAGGCACTAATCTTGGTAATTGCATTGCTTGGGTCTCTAACTGGTTTGGGACAGAATGTGTGAAACAATCTGGTCATTGCTTCAAGGGAAAAGTCTACGGGGACCTATGGGGATATCTAGGAGAAATCCTCTTCTTGTGAAGAAAATAAAACAAAAAGAAATGGTCGATTACCTTTCCTTCTCTGGACCTTATCATGTGTGACTATGATACCTGGTTGCTCCCAGGCTAAAGACAGAGCTAACCTACAGGAGATGGCAGAGCCAAGAAATCCCAAGAATTTGGAGCAATCACATTTTCTTATTTATCTCTGTATGTTTAAAGCCTTCAACACAATGCTATTCCCATAGTAGAGGTTCCATATATGTTTGTTGAATTAATGAATAAATACATGAGAATAAAGTATATTTTAAAAACCATTTTCAAGCTTTTGAAGAAAACAAAGATATTGAATGAGTAAATAAATATGTAGAGTATGATGAGTTGATGAATATTCAGTGTTTACAAATAGTAGAAAATTGTATAATATTGAAGTGTAGAAATCAAGTTTGGATAGAGGACACAATTTTCTGGATAGAGAAAAGATTTTGGTATTCGTGACAAAGGAAGATTGCATAACACGCTAATTTGTGTTCTCCAAATACTATGTTTAGTTCAGTTCAACAGATTTTTTTGAAGCACTTCCTGTATGTAAAACACTGAAGTTACAAGGCGTAAAACATGGTCTTGCTGAAGTAGGTGACACACAATAGGGTCATGTCTTGAATCCACTCAATTCAAAATTTTGGGCATGGGAATGTAAACTAGATAAAAGATATGACTTTCTCATAATAAAAAAGAGAAATATTCGAATGGATGGCTAAGGGGTTACACTGTCGCCCCTGGAGGCAAGATGGTAGAGTACAGAGGTCCCTTTTTATCTTCATGACTTGGGTTCAAATCAGCAGTGTGCTGCAGTCAGCTTGACCAGCTTGTCAGAGTGTGCACATCTCTTCCCGACTCTGTCTTTAAGCTCTCCACATTGATAACATGAAATTGGCCAAGGAGGTAGTTTATACAATGAAAATAGACAAATACTACAAATCAGGGCTCAGAGCCCTGGTTTACCAGCACACTGCTAGTCCAATATGGTAGGTATGAAGTGTCAATTTATTGGTATGGCAGAAACCTTTTCTCGATAGGAAGCATCTAATGATGATAAATTAGCTATGTGACAGGGCTGAATCCCTATACGGCAAGCTTGTAGGCAAAGAGGCCTTTTTATTTCTGTGTCACTCACTATGCCCATCAAAGTGATTTCTGGGTAATAAATGATTGATACATGTTTGTTTCCTTTAAGTCTACTAGTGGCGCAATCTCTATTCCATTTTGTGATATGGATAAAAAATTATTGGGAGTACTTCCTCATCTGTCATGATATATCTAAGAACAGTGGCAATAATGAAAATAATAATTGATACCACAATTCTTATACTGACTTAGAATTTTTTCAAGGACTTTCACATTTATTCATCATTTTATTATCTCTACAACTCTAAGAAGTAGATAGGGCAGAACTGCATTAGGTTAAACAAGATCTTTCATCTTCAGAGCTTTTGAGGGATATTCCAAAGGCTTTGTAATTGCATTATTTCATCGTTTCTTTACCTACATGGTTATAATGGATTGCCATCTTAAATGTTCGACACTTTTTCCCTATAAGCCCCACAGTGTCACCAGGTGTCCCTTTATCCCTCAGCATCTGTGGACCTAGGAAAGCCAACTAACAGATTTGCTCTTTCCTATTGAGCTTCTTTATAGCTCCAGTTCTGGATCTTGCATTGGGTCAGAAAGAAATCATCACTATTTACATCTGATTACGTGACAGCCTATTGCATGAATTCTAGCTGATAATACATGTAAATTTAGGAAAGCCCTGAACCAATTTTAAAAAGCTATCCACTCTCAGTTAATAGATTACCTAGCCTTTGTTGGATAGTATTTTTACCTATAAAGAGAGAGGGAGAATTAAGAAGGGGTTTTTCTCTGTTTGTTCTCTTTTTAAATTTCACTTGGCAATTTGTTTTTCCTCATACACAAGAGCCACCTGAATGGCTAACATTACAATAAGCTAAAGAACCAATATTCAAGGAAAGAATAATTCTTAATATAGAGGTTACATGGTGGTAGCTTATTGGCTCAATTAAGTCCCAAAACACCTTTTATTTATCCCATATTGTGTTTTACACTTCATTTTTCCAAATATTTTAAAATTCCAACCTTCACTGAAAAGTCTATTTTTTTCAGGTTCTTTTTAGCAAAAAAATTAAAATGACTTCACCAAACTAGGTCTAAATGCTTGCGAGAGCTGAGGACTAGTTCAGAGGAAGCCAGTGGTCCTATTTAGCCGTCTCCTGGCATCTCCTTTTGCCGTAGTTCTTAACACTCCCAATAGTATTGCTATATTTATACACAAATCACTTCTTTATTTGATCTATTTAGGCCCAGTACATATTTGAATGTGCAATATCTGTCCTGATTTAAAATTATAACTGAAGCATATTTTCACTTTCATTACATTTATCTATCCAAGCATCTCCTTATTTATTCAACTTATGTGTACAACCTCCTGTGAGCTAGGCACCGAGAATACAGAGATGGAAATGACGTGGTCCTTCCTCTTCTGGAGCTTACAACAGCATATGGGAGCAATGACAAGTAAATAAATAATTGCAAAATACTGTGCGTTATGTCCCACCACAAGGGTACACACAGGGGGCGGTTTATACCATGAAAATTGAATGTGAACAATGTGAGCAGTGGCAAATTCTTTGAGGAATGAAGTGGGACTCAGGCACACTGTCAACAAAGAGATGATTAGGTGATTCCTGTTGAGTAATTTGGAGCCTGCTGGGTGCACAAATAAGGAGGGACATTCCAGGAATAGGGAGATGCAGATGCAATAGCTCTCAAGTATGATGGAAGACCATGGCCTGCCTTTGGAATGCCAATTTTAGAGTCTTTTGGAGCTTGGAAATTCTGAACCCATGCCTTGTTGGGCTGAGAGAAGCTACGTTCTGCTGAGGCTCCTGTCTCTCTGACCTCCAAGAATAACTATCCCTCTATCTGCCTTCCTTATTTTTTTGACCTAACATCTGCTGCCTCTAATCAACATCTGAGGCCTGGTCTTCTCATTCTAGGTGTGTTGGATATAAAAGGCAGGTAGTGATGAATGTGAGTCTCCTGAACCATGCTTTCAGCAACAAATGGCTGATGGCAGACTTTTCTAGAACTCTCTTCTTTTCTTTACTCTGTGTGGTGGCTTGGGATGGGCATCTGTTTTATGAGCATCTATAGCATCTATTTATTGCCATATTAAGTTGTTAAGAATCAAAGGAACAATCAGTTTGTCTGACAGTGGTAGTCACTCAGAAAATGTTTACAGAATGAATAAGATCTTTCTAAATTCTACAAAAGTGGTTCTGAGCTATATCACTTTTTATGTGTCAGGAATTATCAGCATTCCCCAACTAATTTCAAGAAAACAATGGCATGACAATAAATTAACTAGTTAATTTTAACATTAGTCAGGCATAATTGGCTAATGTTAAATCTAGTAAATAATAGAGAGCGTTCATCAGCTGAAGTTAAAGCTACCCTAATGATGCTAAATCAGTATTCACAATATTGAAATTTTGTTCTGCCACAGATGTTGTATAAGGCAAGCCCTACTGATTACTATTTGATTTAATATGTAAAGTTTGGGCATGGCTATTTAGTTTTCCAAAAGAAAAAGATATATAAATCAGCATACTTTCGAGTTTTAACTTTGAGCTTTAAGTTCCTAAAAGTCTAAATTAAGGTATTTTTCATTATGAGGGTAGGAAATAAGAGGAGTCCAAAGCACAGTGACTTAAAAACAGTGGTAATCTGGTGAACATTTATTGTTTCTTGATAACACTAATGTTGATTTTACTATCATGACATGAATAGTAAGCTTAACGACTAGTGGAATAATCACATAATGAAAATAATAAGTTGATGCTAAATAAATCGTACAATTGCAGAATTGTAAGTAAAAATTAAAATTAAAAAATATTTTCCAGATATTGGATATTGGGTATTCATTTGCCCTGTTTATTGAATATCTATTTATATGTATAATTTCATTCCTTGATATTTATAAATGTGGAGATAAAGCTTGTTGTTTGCAGAATGTTCCTTCACTTGCTAATACTCTACAGTCTATTTGTTATTGTCATTCATACACTGTCCCTCCTTCTGAAACACACAGCAACTATATGTATGCTCCCCCCACACTTAAGTCATTTGCCTTTGCTGCTGAAATAAATTCAGATTTTCTAATTGTATTTGAATCTCTTCTTACTAATTTTCAAAATTCAACAATATTGTAATCCAGGCTGGATGCAAGACATCTACCTTAGAAACTAGATTTAGAGGTGGTCCAGCTATGAACTGCTCAAAAAGAGCAGCAAAGGTTCCCTTTGAAAAAAAGCATTTTATATACAAAAACCACTACAGCAACATTACTTCCTGAGAAACACAGGCAGAATAGGACTGCAATCAATTTGCATGCAGGTGGTGAATCTCTGAAGTGGTATTAAGGGATGAACCAGGGTGGATTAATTTCCAGTCTTTGATATTCATTAACTCCAGCTTCAGAACAAAACACAAGGAGATGACACAATTACCCTCAGAGCTTCACCCGTGAGCAGCAGCTTTACAATCTCAAGTTCATAATGCCATACTAATTGATCAAGAAGGGGCACATACTTTTAATAAGAGGTGAAAAAATATATGGGCTTAACTACAGCAATGATAGTATTCGACTTTGGAACAGTCAACCCCACTTTGGAAACACTTGGTAAGATAGTTATCATCATTTATTCTCTAAGCCACCTGTCAATGCCCTCCATGGTTTTCAATAATACTCTACCAGGCATAATGCAATTTCGGCCGGAACATAATAGTGGACAAAGTGCAATGTCCATTTCATTTGAAGCGACTGGCATTTAGTTTCATGACTGTATTTCTCTTTACAGATCATGAAACCTTTCAAAGATATCCTTAGGGAACACTTCAGTAAGAGGAAATCTTTCTTATTAGGAGGAAAAACAGAGGCCATAAAGCTATCTCAATCCCTTCTGGAACAAAGTGGCAAGAGGAAGGGATAGTGATGGAAGAGAAATGTGCCAGCAGGATCTAAGAAGTAGCAATCATAGGCTTGTTTGTTTACCTCTGGAGCTTCAAAGATTTCAGGGTCACCATGAAAGATTGGAGGAAAGACGGCTAGCAGGTCTCCTTTTCGCACACAGAAGTCCCCAGTCTCTGCACTGAGAGTCAAATCCTCCTCAACAAAACGAATGGTGGTTGAATAGGAGGACAGTCGTAAAGCTTCAAAAACGGTGCTTTCTGAAGGAAAAAAAACAAATGATAGATTTTAAGATAGGGCTGCTCTTGAAATAAGCTCTCAATTTGCAATAAAAGCTCATTACTAATGGCCTTGATTGAAAAGGAAACTATTTCTTCCTCCACCTAGAGGGAACCAAGGGTGACTGTGCACAGAGTGTGAGCAGGGGCAGTGGTCTGGCTCCAGCAACGCTTGGAGGTATCTCATAGGTAGGAGGAAGCAGTGTTGCACCTGGGCGGAAAGTCATTCTGATTTTGTAGGAGAGAATGGTCTGGTAGAGAGGAATGCTGTGTTATGGGTATACATGTTTGAAATTAAAAGCATATTCCAGTTAAAATGCACAGCTGGTAAGTCATGCCACAAACCTTTAGAACTCTGATGCTTTAAAGCCAGGCTTAGCCATTTAATAACCACTTAGGCAGTTAATAGTAAAGTAATTGTAGTAGCGCTTTCTGAGACAGCTTAACACTTAATTTCTTTTATGCTAGCTGTAAATAAAATGTGAGTCAACATTTGCTGGAAAAATTTCAAAAGAAAATGCTTTCAGAGGATTCAGAAGAAAACCATATTTTCCTTGGCATCCAGGGAGAATAACAGGCACCATCATATCCTGGAAGATTCCAGAAGCCGAATGTCCTTGCTTTCCCAGTGGCCTTCACCTTTTGCTCCTAGCATGACAGATTTTATGGCTAATTTCCGGCAATTTATCCTGGCAGTTTGAGGAGGAATTCCTTTGGGAATAATATGCATAATTTGCATAAATCATTCTGATAGCATGCATATCAGCGTGTAGCTCCTGTCTAGGTCTGCGTCTCTCTCTTCATAATCAAAACTGACTATGTTTCCACCAGCGTGAATGGGTCCTAGAATATAAAGCTTGATTCTCTCTAATCAGCAATGTGAAAAAAAAAAATCTCCAAATGGAGATTTTCTCCCTTCACATGATAACAAATGGTTGTGTTTATGGCTTGTAATTTAGAAATCACACACACACACACACACACACACACACGGCCCAGTTTCTCAGTGTTCAGCAAAGCTCTGAAACACAGAGTACCCAATTATTAGATTATTAAAGGCAGGCCTATCTGTGAGGACTTTCATCAGCCAAAAATAAAAATAAATGTTATTTCAGTAAAATTTAAATCTAAGCACAGGCTGCATAGGGCTATCAAGTAGCTTTGGGTGCTTTCTCCCAGGAGGTTTTTCCTTAAGCATGCATTTGTCTAAAGAAATGAGGCTGCGGTCAGCTTTGTGTGGCCAGTGTGGTGATTCAATGTGACGTACAGTGAGGCTGTGCATATTCTCCTGGACTGCCTTCGTTATTATAATCAGGCAGAGTCAAATCGGTTTGTTGGTGATGAGGCCAGAAAAGAACTTTGGTTTTGGAACATGGACTCTACTGCAGATAGCCACAAGGCACCTGACACGATGGATTTCAGCTGGCAGGACACCAAGGACCAACATTTCTGTGGTGAAAAGCAAGGGTCGGCCTCCCATGTACTGCTGCTGGCTTTGTTGGAGCAACAATAGCACAGCATCATTTTAGCTTGTGGTGTGAAATGGTAGCTGACATATGCAGCAGTGCTGTTCACCCAACAAGTCCAGTAGGGATGTGGGAAGAAGAAACACAAAAGCAAAATAATTGTGGGGTGGCTGCTGTGACAGGGCAGGCATGTAATAGTCCTGATAACACGGTCACATCTGATTGGCTGATGTGCTCTCGGGAAGCATGGCAGCTTGCGCCCACCACAGTATCACAAATGACAATTGGGCAAGCATATCTTATGCAGAAGTTAATCACAATAATGGAGCACAAAGTGTGGCTTAGCGGTCAGATCGTAAGTGACAAATCTGTTTCACCTTCCAGTACCAGTTATGTGTGCAAGATGAGGTTGGCTCTCGCTCTGAGCGATCATGCCGATAATCATTAGACGACAAAAGTAATGAGTTGCGTTATTATCAACAATGGAGAGTAGAGCTTACGTGGCTCTGCAGAATAACACTCAGACACAAAAGCCAGCAGCTTTTCCACCAGCCCCAGTACGAATGCAGGCAGAGCTATACGTTGAGAAGAATGACAACTGCACAATAAAAAAATTGCAGCCTCTACTTGTAGTTGTCATAGTTGAGCAGACACCAGCCAGTGCCACTGACAGACCAGCTGGGCCCTGGGAGGACTTCCATGCTGCACCAGGAGGTACAGTAAATTATCCTGCACGGTAGAGCAACATCTGTTTCTGTGCTAGTGCCGAACAAACAAGGCAATTTAAAACATACCAAGGGATAACCAAGCAACAAATGAACATGACCCTCATTTTTTCCCCCTTCTCACACATGAGGTGCTAAACTTCTTTGTGCAAGCACTCCATGAAAGAGAAGCCAGGTTTTTATTTGATAAGGTGTTGTCAGAGAGATTTTATATGTTTCCAAAATGGAAAGAAAAAGCTTATAGTATTGTTATTCTTAGAATCTTCCCCCTTCTATCTTCATTTCTTTTATACCAAAGCTAGCACTCAGTTCTCTATTCGCTCTAGAATTAAAAAAAAAAAAAAAACTTTCCATATACTTATAAATATTCAGTCTTTAAACCTAATTTGCTATACTTAGTTCACATGCCTTCAAGCATTTGTCTTCCAATTTCCACTGAATAAATGCGTACTAATGAGAACTAGAGCAAGCTGCTGAGGCAAAGCTGGGTGACTTGGGTCTGGCCTGCCACCAGCTTGTGATAGGCGGGCAAATTGAGTTAAAATGAAAAGTCTTGTCAGCTGAAATTCAACATGGTAGCCAAACAGCAAGCTGTCAATCATCCAGCCAAAACATGGAACTGCAGGTAATAAAAGGTCATTGTGAATCATTAGTACACTTGGCTTTCATATGGAAGTTAATTTTAATTAAAGATGATCTCTATCTGTAAACGTTTTATAAAACTTATTGTGCATAATGAATAGTTAATTTATACTAACATTTAGCAGGTAATAGTACTCTAATTATTAGAATGCATTGTCGAAAAATGGCCATCAAGAATGCAAGTATTTCGGGATAAAATTTACACCACGCACTGCAAGGTGCCAACAACTGCAACTGTGATTAAGATAAGGCTGGCCGTGAGTTATTAAGAACTGAGTTTACTGACTGGTATATGCTAGGAAATTGGATTACAAAACCCCCTCTATGAACTCACAATTCAGAGCATGCACTATGTTCTTTGCCTGGCTAGGGAAGGCTTCTTTCTCTTTTCAGGATTCAAAACTATTCTGATTAAGTATCCCTTCAAAGTGAAATGTCAGGAAATGTCTTGAGCTAAAATATTTTACAATAAAACTGTGAAGGAAAATAACAAATGAAAAAAATATGGTTAAAAAGGCATATACATTTTCTCTTTTGCTCTCAGTTTTCAAATCTGGTTGTAATAAGGGATGGATGACTCTCATTTGTAGATTTAAGGCACTAAAGCAGCTCATGACAATCAATAATGCATGTTACAGTGCAAAAACAAATAAGGACATCCGGGCTTCTGCCTTACACTTAGGCCCTGTCTGTATATGTGGAATGGATGTACTGTGACATGGCCAGGCTGTTAATTTGGGTCATCTTAATGATTGGTGCAGGCTGGCATGCCATCTGATTAGCCATGGTGATCAGTGGATAGCAGCAATGGATGGAGTGAAATGAACAGCCAGGCCCTGCCACAGTGACGGGGGCTAAACACTGGGCGATATTAAACAAGGTGGCTGTAAAAGGGAGAGAGGGGATGGATATGGAGGTGGTGTGCTCTGGAAGGTGTGATGAAATGAAGTGATGCTCATGATGTGTGTGTTTGTGTGTGCATTTCTACATAACTGTCTTCAAGACAGTTGAGAAGGTAAATAAGAAATTGTGATAATCACATAATTTGAGGCAAAATCACTAATCCTTGGCTCAACAACTGTATATCTTAAGTAAGGTTAAAAATAAATCTGAATTGGTATAAATGCCTATCTTCATCCTGCATCTTAGACACAGTGTTTGGTTCACTGCTAAAATACAGACATGTAAATTCAGCATTCATATATTCCATAAATGTCTGTTAAGGCCCTACTCTGCTCGGAGCACCGGGCCACTGCAGCTGGTGTGAAGAAGGAACACAGCACACGGACTTGGCCTTCACAGACAATGCACTCTAGGTAGTTCAAAGTTGGAAGATACACATAAACAGGTATGCTCACAAGATTCTACTGAAGATATGGCACAATTGCATTTATTTATTTATTCATTTTTAAATGGACAAAAATCATATATATTTATGGTGTACAACTAGATGTTTGGAAATATGCATACATTTTGGAATGGTTGGGTGAAATGATTAACATATGCAATTATCTCACATACTGATCAGTTATTTGTGAGGAGAACACTCAAAATCAACTCCCTTGGTAATTTGAGACTGCACACTTTTTAATTGGATAACTCCAATGATGGCATTCAGAAAGCCCATTTTAGTAGAAAGCTATTTTTTCATACTGACGTGAAATTTTCCTCTTTTCCACCCTTTATAAAACACACAGGCCAAAAATGTCTAATCATTCTTCCATGTAACAACCCTTTCAAAATATGTAAAGACAACTATCATAGCATTTTCTAATTGCGTGTCAGAGATGATATGGTGTTCAGCCTTTGCCATGCTGGACGAATTTAATTAGTCAATGTGCCTCTTAATATTTGGCAGAACTAGGTACGTACTATTTTAGTTGGAAAAGTAGAGAATTATTAATTTCTGTCCCTAAACATCATGCTTCTATTACTATTTTCTGGGAGCAGATGAGCAACAGAGTTTTTAAATAATATCACTATTGTTTTAAACTTTCTGATATTCTAGAGATTATCAGCAACCCTGGATGCCCATTAGAATCACCTGGGATTGCTTAAAAAAATAAATGCCCCATTCCAGTCTAATAGAATAGAAACCACTGCATTAACTAAAACCTTTCAATTAGAGGCTTTTAATCTTGGCTGCACA